TGAGATTTTCTGCCTTGAATATAGTGCTGTGTGGAAGGGCCCTCCATCTCTCTATTTACAGATGTAGTCTCACTTGGGAGATAGTCCCACTCTACACAGATGAGTTGACTTCCAAGTAAACACAAATGAGGATCAGGCTGAACATTTGCATCTCTTATGAAATGGGGCCTGTCTGTTCTGTTCATCAATCACATCTGATTCCACCCATCTCTCCATCATCAGCTCTACTCATCCATCTTAATCTCCATCCTGTCTTTCCAACCCATCCATCTTCTCCTGGCATTAAACTCCTTGCTCATTCTTCCTCTGATCCCTAATTTGCTTTTTGAGAGAAGCTTCACTGACTTCATGTTCCCCTTGAGCCACTTCACCCCAGCCTTGTTCACTATCATATAAAATCCACATTATCTGCTTTGAACTGGATTATTTGGCAGTGTAGATCCATATAATCCAGTTCAATGCAGATAACGTGGACTATCTGCTTTGATAAACTGGGTTATAAGGCAGTGCAGATAGAATCAGGGTTAATCAATGAGCAGAATTAAAATAGATGTGATTAGAGCCGAGAAAACACCCCAAAATCCCTCAGTTCATCTCACTTATATGGAAGTGAGACTACATTTTCATATAATGCAACTCAAAGCAGATACTCAGGGATCAGAATCTGAATTATATTGCAGCGTAGATGAGGCCTTGGTGGATTCACAGAATCCATCTATACCACATTGCAGAATGACTATGATATTGCAGTGTAGATGAGGCCTTGATGGATTCCCAGGATGCATCTACACTATACACTATACTATAACTTCTGTGCCTTAGTGCTATGAGATCCTGGAAGCTGTAGTTTAACAAGGTTCTGATTGATTCTATGATTCTAAGGTTTTTTTTTGGCGTTCTTTACCTAAGAGTATTGGTGCCTCACGAAATTACAACTCCCATGATGCCATAGCATTGAACCATGGCCCTTCAAGTGGTGCCAAAATCCAACAATTCTGCCATTCAGATGCAGCTATGCAAGGCATAGGAAAGCCAAGGCGTTTTCTCCTGCTGATTCCTCGGCGCGCATGCACAGAGCATCCACTCCCCCACCTCCGGGAGAAAACAAATGCTTTACAAAGAGCAAAAGGGAAGAAATAGCACGCTGCCTTTGACACAGAAGGGTGCGTTTGTGTGTATGTGAACAAACGACACTCTCTACCTAAGGATTCCACATCCACAGATTCAACCATCCATAGCTCGCAAATATTTTTTCCAAAAAACCCAAAAAGTACAGCTTGATTTTGCAATTTTATATAAAGGACACTATTTTACGACTCCATTGTATATTATGGGACTACAGCATCCATGGATTGTAGAGCCAGAACAGAATTCTACACACATACATACACATTTCTTCCCAACACAGGACATTTCCTCTCCTAATGGGTATTTTTAGGGGGGGGGGGGTCTTTCCTCTTTTCCTATGAGCTCCTTTCTAAATGTTATAAATAGGCCAGGTTGCAGGATTTGTTCCTGTTGGATCAATGGCTGCCTTATAAATTATGGAGGGACTCTCCCGCTCTGTTTCCCAGCTCTCCTTTAGGAAGGAATTGTTTGCCTCACTCCATGCTTCCACGAAACAGATAATCGATTATGGGGTGGTTGAGGCTCCGTCCAAAGGGTCGGCTGGGTGGGTTAGCCCTTTGGCAATAATAGTCATCCTTTCCTCCCCTTCCACACCTCCGGGCTTTGGGAAGGAGGAGGAGGAGGAAAAGAGGAAGAGGTAGTGGAAGAGGAGGAGAAGGAGAAGGGGAAATAGAAAGTGGAAGAAGAAGAAAAAGAGGAAGAGGAAGAAGAGGAGGAGGAGGAGGGATGAAAAGAAAAAGGGAGAAGGGAAAGGAAGAAAGAGAAGAGGAAGAGGAGAGAGGGGAGAAAGGAGAAGAGAAGAGGGAGGAGGAAAAGAAGAGAAAGGAGGAGGAAAAAAGAGGAAGGAAGAAGAGGAGGAGGAAGAAGAGGAGGAGGAAAAAGGAAGAGGAGGAGGGGAGGAAGAAGAGAAGAAGAGAGGAGGAAAGGGGAAGAAGAAAAAGGGGAAGGGAGAAGAGGAGGAGAGGGAAGGAAAGGGAAGGGAAAGGAAGGAGAAAGAAGAGAGGAGGAGGAGGAGGAAAGAAAGGAGAAGAGGAGGAGGAAGGAAAGAAGAGGAAAAGAGGAGGAGGAAAAGAGGAGGAGGAGGAGGAGAGAAAGAAGAGGAAGAAGAAGAAAGGAGGAGGAGGAGAGAAGTAATAAGAGGAAAAGGAGGAGGAAAATAAGAGGAGGAAGAGGAAGAGGAGGAGGGGGGATGGAAAAGGGAATGGAAAGGGAAAGGAGGGGGAAAGTGGTAGGAGGAGGGGGAGGGGGAGGAAGAAGAAAAGGATGAAGAGGAGGAGGAATGGAAAGGGAAAAGTGGAGGGGTGAAAGAAGGAGAAGGAGAAGAGGAGGAGGAAAACGAAGAAGTGGAAGAGGAAAATGAGGGGGAAATGGAAAGAAGCAGAATAGGAGGAGGAGATCAAAGGGAAGAAGTAGAGGAGGAGGAGGAAGAAGAGGACAACGCCAATCTCAGGGCACGAGTAGGATAAATTTAATCCAGAGAAGATCTAAATATAGGCACTTGGTAGCTCGTTCGCACTGAACTCGTTGGAGGGAGCAATCAGACCGAGACAAAGCACTCTTAAGGGATGCTTGTTTATTGGGTGCATCAACACTGTGGAATTAATGCAGTTGGACGCCACTCGAGCTGCCAGAACTCAGTGCTATGACCTCCTTGGACTTCTAGCTTCGCAGGTCTTTAGTCTTCTCTGGCAAATAGGGCGGTGCTTCACCAAACTGCACCTCCCATGATGCCATGGCAGTGATGCAGTGGAAGTGATGTCAAACTGGATTCATTCTACAGTATAGCTGCTCCCCAAGATAACTCCATAAAGCACCTGAGGGGAAGCCAAATTTATGTTGCGATTTGGACTACCACTCCCAGTATCGCCTTACTCCTCGGGGGGGGGGGGATTTGTAGTTAAATTTTGTACTTCAAACAACCCCAACTAGTGACCTCGAAAGCAGTACAATTCTACACATAATCTTGAAAAAAATGTGGCTATAGAAACGCTCTCACAGATGTAATGGGGTATATCCCCTCAATGTGTAGTTAGTTATACATTCAGACTTCCTCGCCACCAAACCTGGAAGGAAGCCTTTGTATCTCACAATACAAATAACCACGAGGACCAGTTTCGTTTATTATAATTTCTTACCCCCACCCCCTCCTCATAATAATAACACAAGAACCAGCTAATACCTCCCAACAAATGATTCCTCAGCTAGGAAGCAGCCAGGCCTTGAAGCTGCAAGGCCATTCAATGCTAATCAAGGTGGCCAATTGCAACATTCACACCTGTCTCAAGCAGACAGAGTTCATTCTCCCACTCAGTGCTATGACCTCCTTGGACTTCTAGCTTCGCAGGTCTTTAGTCTTCTCTGGCAAATAGGGCGGTGCTTCACCAAACTGCACCTCCCATGATGCCATGGCAGTGATGCAGTGCATCATTTCACAGATATATTGTCGCATTTCACAGATATATTGTCGAAGGCTTTCATGGCCAGAATCACTGGGTTGTTGTAGGTTTTTTCGGCCTATATGTTCATGTTCTAGAGGCATTCTCTCCTGACGTTTCGCCTGCATCTATGGCAAGCATCCTCAGAGGTAGTGAGGTGACCTCACTACGTCTGAGGATACTTGCCATAGATGCAGGCGAAACGTCAGGAGAGAATGCCTCTAGAACATGAACATATAGCCCGAAAAAACCTACAACGACACATTCCACAGATATATAAACCCCACTTTGCTTAGTTTCCAACAGACCCCACAACCTCTGAGAATGCCTGCCATAAATGTGGGCGAAACTTCAGGAGAGAATGCTTCTGGAACATGGCCATACAACCCGGAAAACTCTCAGCAATCCAGTGATTCCGGCTATGAAAGCCTTTGACAATTCACAAGTGGGCATGTTTATAGGAAAATTGATTCCTGTATTTAGCCTCCTCTGACAAAGAATGCTGGCTCGATTTCAATAAAATCTGCAGTATAAACCTGCCCTTACTTTAATCCGCTTCTCTTCCCAGTTCAGGCCTCTTCTACTCTGCCATATAATCCAGATTATCAAAGCAGATAATCCACATGAACTGTTTTGAACTGGATTATATGAGCCTACACTGCCATAGAATCCAGTTCAAGGCAGATAATCTGGATTTTACATGGCAGTGTAGAAGGAGCCCCAGACTGTACCCCCAACATTCCCAACATCAGGTCTGTCCACAATATTGAAACCCCACATATTTCCACACCAGTATTTCTCAAATAGTATGGGAAGTTGCTACTGTGAGAGAAATAAGGTTGAACACTGTGAAAGCCATCCACTGCATTGTTATCAGCCTCCTCCCAGCAGACTCAAATCAAGGGAAAGCTTCATGAGAATCACAACTCCTCTTAATGTTGCTCCAGCAACAGCAAGATTATCACTCTGGGCAGCTAAACCAGGAAATGGATGCCCCCCACAAGGATCTTCCTCCAGGGGCAAACCAAGAATGGGCAACTTGGAAGTCCCTGAACAGATTCAGAAGTGGAGTGGGCAGCTCAAAAGACAACCTGTCAAAATGGTACCACTTAGAAGAATCCTCCACTTTGTGAGATCTGTATGCTTGTCCACAACAGTCCTGCCTCATACACAGAAGAACTGTTTAAAGCTACAGACAATGCAGTCACTGTTGCCTGTTTTTTGGTCTAAAATTATTTAGCTGTTTGTCCTTTCTCAATTTTATCAGTTTTATACTTATTTATGCAATGCTTTTGACACGAAATAAAATAAATAAAAATTGCAAGAAAGAAATTTAAGAACACAGTCACCTATATGATATATACTCTTCGCATAAGGATAGTGTGCATAATAAAATCCATTCGCTTTTCTTCAAAATAATAATAAAAAACTAAATCCTCATTTCAAACAATAATTTTATTTTTATACCTTTGTTCTATACTTCGTAGCAAATCTTTTATAATTTCTTTTTTTGCTGAATTGACTTTATAATAAACTTTCTTAAATTACATTTGTTTTCTCTTTTTTTTTGTTAAAATCAAGGCTCTTGGGATACTCCCCCTCCTCCTCCTCCTCCTCCACCCCCCGAATAAACCTTGAGGCGGTGTGTTTCTCGTATTATTATTTTTTCTTAAACATAGACGTAAACCCCTCCTTATTGTAGTTTGTTTTTCCCCTTGTGATCTATACGGTTGGATTGAATAATCATATCTTACGGCAATGGTGGAAAAAACACGTCAAAAAACAAGAGAAGAGGGGGGAAACTTGGAAACATTGTTTTCTCCCAAAAAGAAGAAAAAAAGGGGAAAGAAAGAGAAACAAAAAAAGAGGCAGTGGATTTTGGAGAGAAAAAGAAAAAGATGCCTTGACGGTTAAGTAAAGCTCAACTCTCAGCAAACTTAGCAGCATTCATTAGGTCAACATTTTCATTCAATCCTTCTGTGTTTCTTTGATCTTCTTCTTGTTGTTTCCGTGTTGTCTTCATTCCCCAGCCCTTTTTATTATTTTTTTCCATTGGTCCTTTATTTATTTGTTTATTTCCCCCTTTTCTCCATGTCTCTGAAATGGAATGGCTGAAAAAATCCGTTCGAAATGAAACGAAACGATAACGAAACTGTCACCAGAGTTCCTCAGGAAGGAAAGATGGCGTCGCCATCCCTCTCTCCTTTTGCTCCTCCCCTCTTCCTTCTCTATATCCCCCCTCCTATCCATCCTGTTGGTGCGTCGCCCCCATCAAAGAGCCCCACTCGTGTCGACGTGAGCTGCATCCTCCTCCTCCTCCTCATTCATAGGATTCATTATTATTACTATTAGTAGTATTAGCTATGAACGCTTTTATTAGTATTCGGTGGTGGCTGGAAGCCGTTCCTGAGATTGCTTTTTGCGCCCCAAAGAGAGAGGGAGGGGGGTGAGGGGGGTCGAAGGGACCTAGGCCTAGAGAGGATAAAGCTGAGGTCCGAGTTTGGCTGTTGGTGGGACCATTTGGCAAATCAGGACGCAAAAGGGAGCAGAGGGAGGTCGAGAGGAAAGAGAGAGCGAGAAAGAAAGAAAGAGAGAGAGCTGGGTGGCGTGGTGCACTGCTCAGTGGCCGGTGAGTTCTCTCCCTCTTCTTCCCCCTCTCCAAAAGGGGAAGATGGTGGTCAGCTTCAGGCTTTTGTTTTTTCCCCCCCACCACAGTTGTTGTTGCTGTTGTTGTTGTGGGTGCACCGTGCAACCCACCACCCCGCCGAGCAAAGTGGAGGAGGCTTTTTATTTCCCACCAACAAGCCGTGGCTGCGTGGAAGAAGCGGTGGCGGAGTCGTGGGGGGACAGGTTGTGCTTGTCCTTTTCTCGCTCTTTCTCTCCGGCTGGCTTTCTCCCTTCCCCGCGCGAAGGAAGGAAGGACGGAAGGAAGAGGGGGAAAGAAGGCTCTCTGCCCCCTCCCCCCTCTCCACCTCGCCCCCTTTACAAGGAGAAGCGCGTCGCCAACGCGGCCGAAAGCGCCACCACCAGCCAAGGCGACGGGAGGGCCACCACGGAGGAGCGGGCCGCGTTGGTCTTGCTGCACAGGACGAACAGGTTGCCTTCGTAGTCGAGCTTTTTGGATTTCTCTTTCAGCTTCTCCCAGACGTCTGTCACCCCTTCCTGCTGGCAATCCGTGAGGGCGATGAGGGTGCAGGCGTGGAAGTCGTCCCAGTACCTGAGAGTAAAGAGAGGGAGACAGGGATGGGTTAAACCAATCGCCATCATCATCATCACCAACAACAACAGCAAATGGGAGGGTGGGGGAGGGAGGGAAGACTCCCAGTCAACACTTTAGAACAATCATCACAATCATCACCACCACCATCAGAAAATGGGGAGCAGGAAGACTTCCCATCCAATGCATTAGTAAATGAGCAGGAAGACTTCCCATCCAATGCATTAGAAAATGAGCAGGAAGACTTCCCATCCAATGCATTGCAATCATCATCATCATCATCAGAAAATGGAGAGGAGGCTCTCCATCTAATGCATTAGAAAAATCATTATCATCATCAGAAAATGGTGAGGAGGAAGAATCCCCAGTCAACCCATTAGAACCATCATCATATTCACCACCACCACCACCACCATCAGAAAATGGGGAAAAGGAAGACTACCCATGCAATGCATTAGAAAACGAGCAGGAAGACTTCCCATCTAATACATTAGAAAAATCACCACCACCACCACCATCATCATCATCATCAGAAAATGGGGAGGAGGAAGAATCCCCAGTCAACACATTAGAGCCATCATGATAATCACCACCACCACCACCATCATCAGGAAATGGGGGGAAGGAAGACTCCTGATGCAATGCATTAGAAAAGGAACAGGAAGACTTCCCATCTAATGCATTAGAAAAGTCATCATCATCACCGTCATCATTAGAAAATGGGAAGGAGGAAGAATCCCCAGCCAACCATCATCATATTCACCACCACTATCATCATCATAAAATGGGGAGAAAGAAGACTCCCCATCCAATGCATTAGAAAATGAGCAGGAAGACTTCCCATCCAATGCATTAGAAAAATCATCATGATCACCATCATGATGATGATAATCATCATCATCATCAGAAAATGGAGAGGAGGAAGACTCTCCATCCAATGCATTAGAAAAGTCATCATCATAATAATCTTCATCATCAGAAAATGGGAAAGAGGAAGAATCCCCAGTCAAAACATTAGAACCATCATCATAATCACCACCATCATCAGAAAATGGGGAGAAGGAAAATTTCCCATGCAATGCAGGAAGACTTCCCATCTAATGCATTATAAAAATCATCATCATCTTCTTCTTCTTCTTCTTCTTCTTCAGAAAATGGAGAGGAGGAGGAATCCCCAGACAACACATTAAAACCATCATCATAATCATCACCACCACCATCATCATCAGTAAATGAGGAGAAGGAAGACTCCCTATCCATTGCATTAGAAAATGAGCAGGAAAACTTCCCACCCAATGCATTAGAAAAATCATCATGATCATCATCATAATGAGGATGATCGTTATCAGAAAATGGAGTGGAGGAAGACTCTCCATCCAATACATTACAGAAATCATCATAATCATCAGAAAATGGGGAGGAGGAAGAATCCCCAGTCAACACATTAGAACCATCATCATAATCACCTCCACCATCATCATCAGAAAATGGAGAGAAGGAAGACTCCCCATCCAATGCATTAGGAAATGAGTAGGAAGACTTCCCATCCAATGCATTAGAAAAATCATCATCATCTTCATTATCATTATCAGAAAATGGAGGAGGAAGAATCCCCAGTCAACACATTAGAACCACCATCATCATAATCATCATCACCACTACCATCATCAGTAAATGAAGAGAAGTAAGACTTCCCATCCAAGAGAAGTAAGACTTCCCATCCAATGCATTAGAAAAATAATCATCATGATGATCACCACGATCTTCATTATCAGAAAACTGAGAGGAGGAAGACTCTTCATCCAACCCATTAGAAAAGTTGTCATCATCATCACCATCATCATTCGAAAATGGGAAAGAGGAAGACTCCCCAGTCAACACATTAGAATCATCACCATATTCACCACCACTATCATCATCAGAAAATGGGGAGAAGGAAGACTCCCCATCCAATGCATTAGAAAGTGAGCAGGAAGACTTCCCATCCAATGCATTAGAAAAAAAAATCATAATCATTATCATCACCATCAGACAATGGAGAGGAGGAAGACTCCCCATCCAATGTATTAGAAAAATCATAATCATAATCAGAAAATGAGAAAGAGGAAGAACCCCCAGTCACCAGATTAGGATCATCATCATAATCACCACCACTATCATCAGAAAATGGGGAGAAGGAAGACTACCCATCCAGTGCATTATAATAATCATCACCATCATCAGCACTCCCCAGTTGACACATTAGAAAAATCATCAGAAAATGGAGAGGAGGAAGAATGCCCAGTCAACACATTAGAACTATCATCATAATCACCACCACCATCCAAAAATGGGGAGGAGGAAGAATGCCTAGTCCACACATTAGAACTATCATCATAATCACCACCACCATCCGAAAATGGGGAGGAGGAAGAATGCCTAGTCCACACATTAGAACTATCATCATCATCACCACCACCATCCGAAAATGGAGAGGAGGAAGAATGCCCAGTCAACACATTAGAACTATCATCATAATCACCACCACCATCCGAAAATGGGGAGGAGGAAGAATGCCTAGTCAACACATTAGAACTATCATCATAATCACCACCACCATCCAAAAATGGAGAGGAGGAAGACTCTGCATCCAATGCATTAAGAAAAATCATCATCATCATCAGAAAAATGGGAAGGCGAAAAATTCCCCAGCCAACAAAATTAAAAAATCATCATTGACATCGTCGTCATCATCATCATCAGAAAATGGAAAGGAGGAAGACTCCCCAGTTAATGCATTAGAAAAATGATAATCATTACCATCATCATCATCATCATCATCATCATCAGAAAATAGGAAGGAGGAAGACTCCCCAGTCAACACATTAGAAAACTCATCATCAACATCACCACCACCATCAGAAAATGGGTAGACTCTCCATCAAATGCATTAGAAAAATCATCATCATCATCATCATCATCATCAGAAAAATGGGGAGGAAGATTCCCCATCCAATGAATTAGAACAATCACCATCATTACCACCACCATCATCACCATCAGACAATGGGAAGGACCAAGACTCCTCAGTCATCACATTAGAAAAACCATCAATCATCATCATCATCATCGTCAAATGGGAAGCAGGAAGAATCCCCTTTGAAGCTTTGGGGGGGGGGCGATATAAGCTTCCCTTTTATTACTTTTATTGGGGACACCACTTGAACTGCCATGGTTCCATGCCACTGAATCTTGGAAGTTGTACTTTGGTGAGGTACCACCATTCTTTGGCAGAGTAGGCTAAATATCTTGCTGAACTACAACTCCCAGGATTCCATCGCACCGAGCAATGGCAGTTCAAGTGGTGACAAATTCATAGATGTAAACATAAGGCCATTAAAATACATATATTAAAAGACAGACATAAGGAACACATTAAAATCCTTGGTCTTAACATAATGGAAGTTTAAATTCATAGGTTGAAATTGACTGTGGAAGACGGCATCAGAGATATTTCCCATGGTTAAAACAAGACATGTGCCAGCAACTCAAAAGGACTTGTATATGAAGCTGGTTCTATATAACTGGAACCTGAAACCAAAACAGAAGTATTGATTCCAACCAATCCGCTAGGTTCTTTTCCAGTCCCCACCCTCTCAACAACTGGCAATTTTCATTCTCTGCCCATTGGGCATGCCCAGTCACCACCAACCTATTTTCCTGTTAAACCTTTCCCCTTCCAAAGAGGTGAAGTAAATATGACCCTCTAGGCATTGTTGGCATGCAGTGCTAGTGATCCCTCACCACTGGATATTCTGGTGAGGGCTGATGAGTTGCAACACAGCAACCTCTACCTGGATGCTCACAATTGCCCATCTTGGACCCTGTTTCATTTCTTTAAATTTTGCAGTTTCCTTCTTTATTCTGTTGCTACCACCTTCTTGCTAGTGGATGTGTTATTTTGATTGCAAGTGGGTGTGTTATTTTGACAATTTAAGTATCCACACCAGGAGGGTGAGTTGGCTACATACCCTTCCCTAACCTGGTGCTCTGCTATATCTGGTTGGCTGGCGATGATGGGACTTGGAGTCCAAAACATCTGGAGCACCCCAGGCTGTGGAAGTCTGATGGAGTTTTAGTATTTAATTGATTAATTGAATCAATCACTTACCAATTTACAAATTGAATAGACATTTTCCTTAATCAGGCAACAGATGGTAGACAGACAGACAGACAGACCCACACACAGATAGATAGATAGATAGATAGAGCCAGTCAGATAGACAGACAGACATGTAGATAAATAAATAATTGTTTTGTATAAATCAAGAATAACAAGCAGTTTTGTACTTTTGTACATAGAACAAAGGCCCCTTGATGAGGACATCTGCTAGAGTACACTATGTACAAGCAAAACAGGGTGTTTTTTTCTTTTAGAAGTGTTCTTTTTACATGTATTTGAGAGATCTATCAGTTGATTGGCTAAAATTAATAAGGCTAATTAATTATTTTTGTATGTGCTTTCAAGCATCCTGTTGACTTACATCAACCTCATGGATTTCATGGGGTTTTCTTAGATAAAGAATATTCAGAAGTAGTTTGTGCTGTTCTTTCCTCTGAAATATAGCCTACAGGATCTGGTATTCACTGAAGATCTCCCATAAAAAATACTAACCAGGGTGACCCCACTTAGTTTCCAAGCTCAGAAGGGATCTGGTGCCCTTAGGCACTGATCAGATAGTTACTGAACAAATATCTCTTTTTTTTAAAAAAAAATGCTTTGTACTAAGGATCAGATTATCTAAGTTTATTCTGAGTAGTGGGCAGTTCAACCTTGGTCAACATGGTAGGATTTCATTCAATAAATACAGTAGAGTCTCACTTATCCAGCATAAATTGGCCGGCAGAATGTTGGATAAGCGAAAATGTTGGATAATAAGGAGGGATTAAGGAAAAGCCTATTAAACATAAAATTATGTTACGATTTTACAAATTAAGTACCAAATCATCATGTTTTACAA